CCATCCATGCTTTTGTTCCGGCCCTCCGTCCAGTTTAAGAACCTCTGTTGTGGCCCTCGAGTCAAAAAGTTTGCCCACCCCTGGGTTAGACAATCCTATACTTTACAAAGTGTTTCCCCTCAATATTTCCAGTTCCCAGCTGGCACCATATGTAGTTACTGCAATATTATTGACTACTAGAGGCCTGGTGCACAACATTCGTGCACTGGTGGGGGGTTGAGGAGTGACCCTCAGCCTGGTGTGAGTCCTCTTGCAGTCCGGGACCCCTCGACGGACATCCCCCGAGGGGTCCTTAGCATTGCGGAGGGGTCCTTGAGCCCAGCTTCTGGCTGAGCAGCGCTCCCCATGTGGGAATGCACTGACCACCAGGGGCGGCTCCTGCCTTGAGTGTCTGCCCCCTGGTGGTCAGTATGCATCATAGCAACTAGTCATTCTGCCATTTGGTTGATTTGCATATTAGCCTTTTATTATATAGGATGTTTCCTATGCTATACTTTACATCCTTACAAATTATTTTTTAACTTCCAATCTATACTTCTCAATCCCTTCATCTTTTTCATCCAGTCCCCCAACACCCTTCCCTCTGACAACGGTCAGTCTGTCCTCTGTATCTATGAAGCTATTTCTGTTTTGTTTATTTATTTTGTTCTTTAGATTGTACATATAAATGAAATCATATGGCATTTGTCTTTCTCTGACTTTTCACTGAGCATAATATGACATGGTTCACTTCTGGCAAGTCAGAATGTGGACTGACCTCACTGGAGTTTATTGGTGATAGAAGAGTTTTATTTGGAAGTAATCCCATGAAAATTATAGCAAAACTTTGATGAAGATGGTTTATTTTTGTCTAATCAACTTCATCTTTATTCATGGTATGGCATTTTTAACAAAATGCAAGTGAACTATACTTTAGTTTTCAATTCCTAGGATCAAGTGGCAAGTGCAATCTTTGTATCATAAAGTTGACTATAAAAATAATATTGGTAATTGATTATCATACGCTAATATGTGGAATTGTTTTATATACCAGTCAGTAAAAATCTTTAAGGAGCATTTCACAAAACTGAAAATTAAATGTTTCATTTAGGTTAAATAGGTAATAGGTAAAATACATACAATACAAATAAACAAAACTTTTATTTTTGAGACATATAAATTAACTACATGTTATGGTTTATTTGACACAGAGATACTAGAACTTCTGAATTTGATTTAATTTATAAACAGTTGCATGTAAGCGATACTTTGCATTTAAAATATCAGATCTATATTCCAGAAGATTAGTATTAATTAAACAAACCACCACCACCTTTCTGGCACATAGACTACTTACTGTCCATCTGTGTTTCTAGTTTCTTGTTTTTCTTCTTTGGAGTTTTGTGAGGACTCTCCAGTATCACTGCCAAGGGCTGAGTCAGGATCACTTTTCAGTGTATTTATTATATCAGTAGGTCCAAAAGGAATATCTTGTGACTTCCCAGAAATATTTTCAGCCTCATCTTTAGGCACTTCACTCAGTTCTTCCTTTTCTTCTATCTCCTCAAGACTGTAATCAGAGCTTACTCCAGCTACAAAGAAATGAAGATAGAATCCTAAATATTAATTTGCCTCACTCATGCTATACAATCCTGGCAAAGAAGGAATTTTTAAAACAAAAATTAGCTAGACTCCTAAATTATGGTTCAAAACTAATAGTGGAATACTTTTCTAATGATGAATAATTATGTTAACATATAATCAGATTATCTCAAACATATAATTCTAAATAGTTATTTAGACTTCCTTTTATTAAATGTCATAGAAAAGTCTGTGATTCCTTTTAAAAATTCTAATCCAAAATAGCTTTCATAGTTGGTTGATTAGCTAGTACAAATTTCCTCAAGCTTTAAAAAGTATTAAATCAAGTTTGTTTTTGTATGGGTTAATAGACTTATATGATAGCTATATTTGAGGACTACAATAAAAAAAATGGGTTAAGGGCTGTGAAAGATGAATAATTTTCACAAACATTACATCACAACTATCATATTTCAGCTCCAAAAGTTATAGAGGAAGAATATTCATGTGGAAACAACAGTGCTCAAATTCTTAGTGAAGATTTAAGATTTAACAACATCCAAAATATAAATGTTAAAATATTATAAAAACATAACCTAAAAGTGTGATTATTGACATTTCTTTTTTACTTACTTAGCTTTATATAGTTCGAATAGTTTTTTAAGTTTTCCAATCCTTCTCAATTAGATAACAAAATTGAAAAAGAAAATATTTAAAATTATTTAAAACTCACAAAATATAGTACATTAAATGAAATGTAAGTATTAACTTTCAGAAGATGATTTTTTAAGTTTGTAGTATTTTACTTATAAGTTATTAAAGCTTAAAATTTCACTAATACTTTTAGGATCCTAGTATGTTTTTCCTGGAGATGATTAAAATGGCAAAGTTATCTGACAAATACCTCTTTTTGATAAAATCTACAATTAATAAAAGCATAATATGCTAATTAGACCAGCTGTCCTTCCAAACATCCTTCTGGACGACCTTCTGGACAAAGCTGGGGCTGAGAGGGAAGCCTGGGTCCTGGGTGCTGGAGGGAAGCCAGTGCCAGCAGCCAGGGGAAGGAAGGCCTACTCGTGCACGAATTTCATGCATCAGGTCTCTAGTAGAATTATATTACATTAAATCTAGCCTGGTGAGTTGCTGTTTTAAAATTTACTCATAAAAAAAAGTGCCCACTAGGCCAGACATTATTGTAGTTGTTGCCAGGCAGAGTTGTTTTATTTTCCATTTTTAAAAACTGAGGTAAAATTTACATTCAGTAAAATTCATCACTTTTGGAGCCCTGACTCAATGGATAGAGCGTTGGCCTGCAGACTCAAGGGTCCCAGGTGCGATTCCGGTCAAGGGCATGTACCTTGGTTGCGGGCACATACCCAGTAGGGAGTGTGCAGGAGGCAGCTGATCGATGTTTCTCTCTCATAAATGTTTCTAACTCTCAATCCCTCACCCTTCCTCTCTGTAAAAAAATCAATAAAACATATTTTTAAAAAATTCACCACTTTTGGAATATATGTTGGAATATCCAGTTTTGACAGAGATATATAGTTGTATGACCACCGGCACAATCAAGATTTAGAACAATTCCATCAACCTCCAAAATCCCCCTGCCTTGAACCTGGTCTGGTGGCTCGGTTGGTTGGCACATCACCCCATACATCAGAAGGTTGTAGGTTCAATTCCTGGTCAGGCACATACCTAGGTTGTGGGTTCAATCCCTGGTTGGGGTGCATATGGGAGGCAACCAATCAATATTTCTCTCTCACGTCAATGTTTCTTTCTCTCTTCTTTCCTCTCTCCCTAAAAACCAATAAAAACATATCCTTGGGTGAGGATTAAAAAACCCCACACAAAACAATCCATGTTCTTTGTGATCAACTCCACTCCCTAATCCCAATCCCTGGTAATCATTATTCCTATGTCCAGACAGTATGTCGATGAAACCATACAGCATCTAGCCATTTAATCTGGCTTCCGTCATTTAACATAATACATTTGAGATTCATCCATGTTGTTGCATGAATTAGTTATTAATTCCTATTTACAGATAGATGTTAGTATTCCGATGTATGGACAAATCAGTTATTTTTATTCATTCATCAGTTTAGGGACACTGAATTGTTTCCTGCTTCTGGCAATTATAAATAGAAATTCTATAATAGTTTACAAGGAAGTTTGTGTGTACACATAAGTTTTCATTTTTCTTGAGAAAATAGCTAGAAGTGCGATTGCTGGGTCATATAGAAAACACATGCTTAAATTTTATTTAAAACAAACAAACAAAAACTTGCCAAACTATATTCCAAAATGGCAACACGTCTGTACATCCCTATAAGCAGTGTATGATAATATACTAAGTTTAAATAACCAGTTTGAGGTGATAAAGGACTCTTTCTGAGTCACTGAAAAATTGAGAAAATATTTATAACATTCAAGTATTACCCAACTATAAAGTTTTGCCACTGGTCACAAAATAATTCCAACATTTTAAAAATAAAAATCCCAATCAAAAGCAATCCTATAGAAAATAAGCCATGCCTAGGTAACAAAAGAGAACTTCAAGAAAGAAAAACATGTATTTTTTATAGTTAAGTAATAAAGTTCAAGTAGTTCGCCACAGAAGAAGAAAGCCAAATAGAAGAGAAACTGAAATGCTGCAGAACCACTGATTTCATTCATCTTACATCTCAAGAAAGGCCCGGTCACCTACATGTCAGCGATGCTGCGGCTGCCTCGGGCGTTTCAGGGCACTCCAAGAGAGAGATGTCGTCTGCCCCTTTGGGCACAGTGCACTGTTCATGACTGGGGAGCCCAGGGCCAAGTGAGGCTTCTGCCAAAGAAGGAAAATCTGTGGAAATGGCACTTAGACAAGCGTTAAGGCAGGCAGAGACCAAGAAGTATTTCGGAAGGAATCAGATTTGTTAGCTCACAGTTACCCATGCATTAAACAAGAAGAGGTAAAAGAAAAGAAAAAAAAAAAGGAAGAGAAAGAGATATCAAGCAAAGTTTGAATAGCAATTATACCTTTTCTTCTAATACTTCCAAATTTTCTTATTTCACTTATATTGTGTGATATAATGTAATAAATTTCCTTTTTTGAAATAAATGATATCATTAATATCATTTTGGGTAAAAGTTAGGAAAAATCATTACTAGGTATCTGACGGTAATACTTTTAATTAGAGAGGAGAGGAGAATTTTTTTGTGTAAGATGTGTCAAAATTCCAACTCCTAAATATCACCTAAATATAAAAGATTTAGGAACAGTTGGGTGCTTCTGAGTTCTCCCTGTATTTGTGAATATGAATTGTAAAAATTAGGTAAGGTTATATTAAGCAATTTTCATTCCTATCAAATTATCCTACTGGCATAATAATATTCTATTTTTGATTATACATCATTAGCTCATCATATTCATTTATATTTAACTTTAAATTAAATCTAAGGATAAAGAAATTTTATCATACTCATTTTTATAATAGCTATTAATAAGTAGCTCTTATTAAAAAATATTAGGAAACAGAATCAGCTTGAATTATTTTATTTTTACCTGAATTTCATTTAGTGGGAATCTAAAATGAGAACATATAATAAAAATATTTCATAATAACAAGTTTTTACCATTAGATTTGAACACTTTGCATGTTAAATTCATACTTAGGACAGCTGCATGAAGAATGGTGTTTTATCAACAATAAAGAGTAAAAAAAAATTTTTTTAAAGAAAAGAATGAACTATGTTTTAACTGAAAATAGATGACCAATTGAATTACAAAAAGAATGGTGCTTTACATCTTCATGTAAGTTTTCTTCTGAACACACCAAGATATGTCATTATTTTTGGAAAGGAGATTAATAACTTATAACCTGACATTACATAGGAAAAATCAGGAGACCTTGTAGGGAACTGACTCAAGGAACCAGACCTAAAATTTTGAGTGTGCTTATTTCATGCCCTAACCCCAGGGAAAAATATTTTCATTTCATAAGATAAAATCTGGGAAAAGGAGGCAAAGCATCTGTATCCCTTTCATATACAGAACATTATACCCGATTCATTCCTCAATTGTCATAAAAGATCCTTCACCTTAATTCCATGATACGGAGTAAAGGTGAATACACACCTGGGCTGGGCAGCCCCTCAGGAGAGCTTGCTTCTGAAACACTGTCCGTAGGAACTGCAGGCACTGACCGCAGGGCTAGAACACAGAAGCATCACAAATTGGAAACAAGTCACACTCACAAAAGAAACAATTCCTTAGTAGCTTACTTTTATATAATTCCGAAAGAGACAGCCATTTTACTAACCTACTTAGATTTCCATTCCTACATGTAGTCATTCCTGAATGGCTGCATCTTTCTGAACAGATTTACAAATCGTCACATACTCATTAGGATAATGGAGCTGCACAATCCTTTCATTTCATTTTGTCATGTTGCAGATTTTTAAAAGGTAGTTAAGTGAGAATAATTAGGGGCTAAGTGTTATTATTAAACTTAACTAAAAGCCTAAGTTTAACTATTATTGTTAATAAAAAGACATGATTTATAACATATCATTTCTACTGTCTATATTAAACAAAACACAATACAAATGTAATGTTAATGGGAAAAGTAACATTACCAGTCACGTGGCTTTCATCACTTTGATGCAGGGGTATTTGGGAGGGTGGGGAAGGTGCCTTTCGCTTTGTCCTTTTCAAAGATGAGTTCCCAATGGATGTGCTACTGAGCTTCAGAGAGCCTGTCCTCACTATGTCTGCTCCACAGGAACTCTATGGGAAACAAAATGACCAAGCACAATTTCTACTTGGAAATTAATAGCGAACTTCAGGAAGACACTGACTTGACCTCAAACACATAAAAGTCACTCATTCAAAAAATGTAAATGGAGTGTCCGCCATGTGCCAGGAGCTGGGCTATGAGATGGATATGTAAAGAAAAATAAAATACGGGCCTTCTCAAGAAACTTAGGCTAGGACGGAAGACTGACATGCAAACAAAGAATCATAGTGTAGGAGTCCTGAATGATACAGTTAAAAACTAACTTTCAAAGAAGAATCTGGAGAAAATGTTGGACATAAAATAAGAGCTAAAAAAGGGAAGAATATTTGTATATTAAGGGAGCTGGCTTCATTAATATTTCTCTTTTTAGCATGAATGTATCAATGACAAACATTTCAAAAATCTAGCCGAAACCGGTTTGGCTCAGTGGATGGAGCGTCGGCCTGTGGACTGAAAGGTCCCAGGTTCGATTCCGGTCAAGGGCATGTACCTGGGTTGCACGCACATCCCCAGCAGGAGATGTGCAGGAGGCAGCTGATCGATGTTTCTCTCTCATCGATGTTTCTAACTCTCTATCTCTCTCCCTTCCTCTCTGTAAAAAAATCAATAAAATATATTTTAAAAAAAAATCTGTATGTCTAGCCTATGCAAGGTCATTTGAGGTCACAACTCTATGCACAGCTAATGCTCACACTCATGTGATTGTCAGCAGACCCTACGACAATCCTGCCTCATCAGGCTGGCCAGAGCCATGTCCCCTTGCTTAACAGAGTTATTCATAGTTTTTGTCTCCAATTTCTCACCTCCCGCTTGAACCTTTCCAATCAGATTACCCCAACCTTTGATCCATTAAAACTGTTTCTATCTAATTCCTTAATGACCTTCACTACAACTAAATCAGTGGTTACTTCCTAGAACTAATTTGTTTGACCTGTTAGCAGCATTAAACAGAGTTGACCACTCTCTTAGAATCCTTTCTCTTATACTTCCTGTTTACCACATTTCTCATTCTCACAGATCTGAACTCTGTTTTCTTTGTTGGTTGCTTTTCATCTCAATTCTTGGACACGAATATTCTCTTCAGTATCTGTGCTCACTCTCTTGGTAATCTTCTCTGTCCCCTCAGTTTATTTATATATATATATATATATGGATAAGTTCCAATTTTAGGCCTCCATCCTGGGCCTCTATCTCATCTCCACTTAATATCTAAGACCATTTCAAACTTGGCAGGTCTGAAAATGAGATTCTGATAACCCTTCCTCTACCCTCTTCTATCAAAACTAACCCTGCCCTCATAGTTTTCTCTGTTTCAATCAAGAGCAGGTCATTCTTCCATTTGTTCAGGCCAGTGACTTTGGAGTCACCCTCATCTCCTCTCTCTCACACTTCACATTCATAACATCCTATTGCCTCACCCAGCTCCATGGCTACACAAAGCCCAAATTATCAACAACTTGCTAATTGGACTCTGCTGCCACATTGCTTTCTTACAGTACTTTCTCAACATAGCAGCAAAAGGATCCTGTTAAAACATAAGCCAGATTAGGTCACTTTGTTCAAAACCTGCTAATAGTTTCCCAATTGACAAAAAATAGCCAAAGTCCTTGTAATGACTTCTAAGGCAATTGACCGCCTGGCCCCTAGCTCCCTCTAACCACCTCCTATTATGTAGTCTCACTCCAGGCAGCTCCTCAGATATGCCAGAGTGCTCCTGCCTCAGGATGGTTGCATTTGCTGCTCTCTGTGCCTAAAATACTCTTCTAATAACATAATGTCTTACTCCCTCATTTTCTTCAGGTTATTTCTCAAATGCCACCTTTTCAATGAGTTCCTCATTGACCCCCCTTCACTTCCTGTCCCTCTTCCCAGATTGATCTTTATGAATAGCATTTTATAGTTTTCTAACATTCCATGTACTTGGCTTATTTACCTTGTTTATCGTCTGCTTCTGCTACGGTTGACCATAAGGGCCAAGATGTTTTTCCTTCCTATTTTGCTCATTGCTTTATCTCCAGAACATTGTCTAGCTCATAGAAGTTTCTCAATAAATATTTGTTGAATGAATGTCATCATGAATGAAATACTGCCCTCTTCACTTGTAAATAAAAGGACTTGATATACTTGGACTTGGAAAATACCTAAAGCTTGGGTCTTTTCGATATTTATGAGACAATGCAAATACTAGGATACCTAAGAGGATAAAACTAGTTCATAGGAATTTTTTTTTCAGTTGTTATGCCTTGCTTCACACCGAGAAAAATGTAGCAAATTTTTGTATGTTGTAATATTGTAATATTTCTGCCAGAGAAGAAAAGGAAGCCTGACCCCAAAGAGAAAAATGTGAGTTAGTTGTCATCCCTGCCAACTGTGTTAGGTCATCTCACAGGAGAAGAAGCAGAGTTAGGTCCAGCAGCAAGCACTTGATAGAACACAACTCTTAGGAAGGTTAGCTCCTCTTAACAAAAGAGGTAGAACAGGGTGGCTCTCGGCTGACCTTACTTAGAGTCTAACCATTAAAATCCTTCCATACCAAGTGATAAACAGCTAGAGCAACCACTCTCCTCTCCCCTCATTACTCTGGTCCCTGCTCCAGAACTCTTCAGACCTCTCCATAATAAAACAAGAAAAGACTTGAAGCCTCCCACCCAGATTTTGATTCAGAGTCACTAAAGCTAATTCTGATTAAATCTGAGGTTCACCTCCATTTCCAGTGGGCATGGAGTAGAGCGTCAAATACTACTTGGGCTTTTAAAACAATTAGGAGAATGACCCTCGGCAATATACTAGCTGAGAAAAAAGTGTAATGATGGATGGGCAGTATTTAAATATCATCTTAAGTAGAATATTACGTTTAAATAAAAACGTAATATTCTTACTGATATGTCTCTGTGTTTCACAACTTTCACCTGCTATTTATAAAAGTAACAAATTTAGCAATCATTTGAGAAAAGGACACAAATACTCCAAAAACAATGTGCACGTCACTTTTTAAAGTATGTGATCTAAACATCAAAGGCAGTAGATGTCATTTTCTTTCTTGATGCATTTACTAATGTAAAACCCCATTAAGTCATGCCATTCCTATCACAGAAGCTTATCAGAAACAACAGAGTAGGTGAGCCATAAATAATTGCTGATTGCATGCAGTAATGGCAGAATTTGATTTGCTTCCCAGCTCTTTGCTGAAAACTTGTTTTCCATGTTTTGACTGATTACTTTCATGAGTTCTATGGTGAAAACTGGTTTTCCCTTTTAGGTCAGATTCCCAATTACTGTCATTTATTGGTCTTTTCTATTACCTGATAAAAGCAGTCACAACATGAATTTCTCAGACAATTGTATCTGTTTGGAAATTAGAGTGCTTAAATTTGGGTTATAACATAATAAAGCAGACAGCATAGAAATAAAAAAAAGACACTTACTGGGTGTACCGGTTAATAGTGCGTATTTTTTTTCAATAGATGGAGTTACACATATGTTGATATATATGCGATTTGATATGTATGCTGTTTTGTTGTATTGAAAACAAGCTTCAAAACTTTATATGTCAAATTTCCTGAAGGTGTTAACATCATAGATATTTTTATACTTAAAAATGTCAAATTTCATGCCAAAAAAAAAGAGCAATAATTTATTTTAAAGAAAAGTGCTGCTGAAAGTTATCGTACACTTCAGGAAGCTTATGGTGAACATGCTCCATCTCAAGATACTTGTAAATGCTGGTTTAAACGCTTTAAAGGTGATGATTTCGATGTGAAAGACAAAGAACATCCAGGTCAGCTAAAAAAGTTTGAAGCCAACAATTACAAGCATTATTGGATGAAGATGCATGTCAAACTCAAAAACAACTTGCAGAAAGATTAAACGTTGCTCAGCAAATAATTTCTGGTCATTTACAAGCAATGGGAAAGATTTTAAGGAAGGAAAATGGGTGCCACATCAACTGAATGAAAGACAAATGGAAAAACAAAAAGTCATCAGTAAAATGTTGTTTCAACAGCACGAAAGAAAGTCTTTTTTGCATCGAATTGTGACTGGTGATGAAAAGTGGATTTATTTTGAGAATCCCAAACGCACAAAATCATGGTTTGATCCAGGTCAACCATCAGCATTGACTGTAAGGCCAAATTGCTTCAGAAAGAAGACAATGCTCTGCGTTTGGTGGGATCAGGAAGGTGATCTAAAACCAGGTGAAACCGTTAATACTGATTGCTACCGACAACAAATAATCAATTTGAACCATGCTTTGATCCTGAAATGACCAGAATGGGCCAGAAGACACAGCAAAGTAATTTTGCTTCATGATGACGCACCACCACACACTTCAAAACCAGTTAAAGACATGTTAAAAGATCTTGCCTGGGAAGTATTAACCCACCCGCTGTATTCACCAGACCTTGCTCCTTCAGATTACCACTTGTTCTGATCGATGGCACAGGCGCTTTCTGAGCAGCACTTCAAAATGTACGAAGAAGTGGAAAATTGGGTCTCTGAATGGTCTGCCTCAAAACAAGAAAAATTCTATTGGGGATGTACCCCCCAAATTACCCGAAAGATGGGGGGAGGATGTGTAGCTAGCGATGGACATTACTTTGAAATAAAGCACTTTTGATGTTTTTCTTGAAATTATTGTTTCTTTGGATTACAAAATCCGCATTATTAATCGGTTAATAGTTAAACTGCACTATTAACCAGTTAACAGTTAATCCGCATTATCAATCGGTTAATAATTAATCCACACTATCAACCGACTAACAATTAATCTGCATTATTAATTGGCTAATAATTAATCCACACTATTAACTGGTTAATAATTAATCTGCACTTTTAACCAGTTAACAGCTAATCCGCATTATTAACAGGCTAATAGTTAATCCTCACTATTAACCAATTAACAGTTAATCTGCATTATTAATCGGTTAATAATTAATCCACACTATTAACCAGTTAGTAGTTAATCTGCACTATTAACTGGTTAATAGTTAAT